CTGCTGGTCAGGCACACTGCAGCTTTGTGGTTGGTTGTTTTGTTTTAAAGCCTTAACAGTATTATCTCCAAATTCTAGAAAATATTGCAAAAGCCTAGAAGTACAGGAAATTTGAGAGGAGTCCTTTTTCACAAGCATTTGCCTTGACAAAATTTAGTAGTAACATGTCATTTCAAAAACAATGCATTAGCAAAGATTTCCGTTGGAGTTTGATAACAAGATTTTAAAGATAGATGATCGTGTGTGTGCACTTATGTGCATGTGCTTGTGTGTGTGTGTGTGTTGCTGAGGATTGCATGGTAAGCAGGCTCTCCACCACAGCGTTTTCCCCTGGCCCTCTTCCCCCTCTGCTGGAGACAAGCAGGCCTTGAACTTCCCAATCCTCTGATGTCAGCCAAGAGTAGCTGGATTCCGGGATCTAGCCACTAGGCCTGCTTCTCTGGTCCCTGCTTAGGTTTGAGGTCTTAACAAACTATAAAATAAAGGCTCTTTTAGGACAGTGAAGGAGCATTTTCCACCATGTGAATTGTTTTCCAGTTTTGCACAACTTAGGGAAATTACATTGTTTTATAGAGATTTTGAGAAAAAAATTCTTTTTTAAAAAGAGATTTCTACAGTTTGGGGCTAGAATTTCCATGGTGTTTAGAAATCTAGTGGAAACACCAGGTTAATGAGCCATCTTGAATAAAGTAGTTATTATCCATGACTAAAGACAAGTTTGGAATAACACTGAGTCTCTCCCATGGAAAGGCGAACCATAGTGCCTCTGTTTGTTTAGGCTGCTGACTAACCTCTGAGAGGTTGCTGGGCTCCCCACACCCCACACACCCCTCCCCCCCCAGAGTGCTGAGAACCCAGTGCTATTTTTAAAATAGCTGAATGCTATCCCAGCTTCATGCATGTTCTCCTAAGTGTCTAACAACATAACTAATTGTCTTTTAGACTAATGATTGTTTAGGCCCAAACTCAGTCAAGTCTTTTCTTTCTTAAAGTTGTATGGTTAACTAATGACAAACAGAGAAATGTTTCAGGCTGCTGCAGGGACAGTATTTCCTAAAGCTTGGCGATACAGAGGAAGGGGTTGCTTTTTGTTATTTCTTTCAGGTTTCAGTTATGTGTTAAATCTCTGATGCAGGCAGATAGGAGGCTTTCTCTTTGCAGCTCTGCCTCTGCTGAAGAGCAGCTAAATGACGACAGCAGGTGCTCTGAAGTCCTGCATGAAGCTCATGAATTTTGAGCCAATTACTCCAACAAAAGGGCTACAGCCCCAAATGGACTCCTTTAACAAAGCAGGGTGTCTCCAGGGTGATGTACAACTTTGATCTTCATTCTAGAGATTGTTATTTTCTTTGAGCCCAACTGATGAACTCAGCAGCCGAAAGCAGTTTGTTGCTTAAATGCTGATAAAAATAAATAAATAAAAGGCTTTATTCTACAGAAGGCTCTTTGACAGAGTTCTCTTATTTTTCTTGGCTTTGGCTGACTGCTTCTCCACCTGGCCAGAGCAAACTAGGATTTAATAGAGTGAGCTCCTAAAGTTAGGCCGCTGTCTCCATCAGCACCACAGAGCAAATTAGTGCACGGGACTCTCATTTCTGTGGGTGAAATCATGTCTTCCTGGCAGGTCAGTGTGGAAAAGATGTGCAAAGAACTTCCTATCACTTAGAATATAGCCAAGCATGTAATAGGCATGCTGTGCCCAGCGTGAGCAGCTGTTCTCAGTCCCTCGCCTTTCTCCTCAGTGTCCCAATTCACGTCTCCCGTGATGGTCAGGCAGTAGTTAGTGCTCCTGTCTCCTATGATGGTCAGGCAATAGTGATAGTTTACTACCTGCTGTTGCCTGATCAGACATCTCTGTTTCAGTGCTTTCCTGATGGAGCCATCACTTTTCCATGTTGTTTTCAATTCCTGTGTCTTGACTAGGTTGACAGGATTCTTCATTTTCTTTCTAGGATAGTTTCATTCAAAACAAAGGGGGAAGAATACTTATTCAGCTAACGTGGTGAAACTAACTGATTTGTAATGGCTGGTAACTGTTGTCCAGGTGTATCTAGTGCACAGATCTTGGCTTTGGTGTTAAGGAGGCCAGAGCTGTTTGACTGTAACTGTGGTCACTATGGACAATGCTGGTATAGCCTTTAATTTGGAGGAAGCATGTCGTGTTAGTAGTCCATACCATGGATAGATGCCAGCAAAAGTCACTTACAAGTTTTTGCTTATGGCCTGTCTCTCCAGGATGTCTTAAGCATTTCCTTACGCCATTAGTAGAAGATATGGGACAAAAGGCATGGCCACCAGCTTTTCAACCTAGTGACTTTTTGGTTAAAAACAGTGGATATATGAGCTTTTCCACTGATAGTATTTTTAAACCTTTCTCAGCGTCCTGGATTGACTGGATCTTTTGATGTGGCTGTAACTAAGCTGCATTTCTAATGTATCTACTCGTCTTTTGTTCTCAGTGTTGTGTATTATATGTTAAGGTGTTAGTACTTACATGAAAATTTATTTGTGGTTAAGAAAAAGTAGCTTTAACAGTGAGATTTCTTTGTTATACTTGTTCAACCAGTGGGATTTTCCCCATGGTAGACTCTGTGGTTTTGTAGCTCTTAAAACACACCAGCGTTCTCCAAGGAAGAAGCAGAGTTTCACATCTTTTATAATACTCGTGTATACTGAGAGGCCTTTTTTTAAAAAAACAGAGAAACATATGTTTGGTGAGTTCGTATTTCTTAAAATACACGTGGCTCTTCAGACTGGAATCTATTGAAACAGGACTCCTGTTTGAAGCAGAGTGAAGGCTTCAGCACAGAAGTGATGGAGTGATTAGCCAGAGGCTAATAGAATCCTGGGAAGAATGACAGATTGTATATAGGAAGAAATACAATCTCACACTCATTGTAGCTTTTTTACAATTAAAGATCAAAAAAATAGAAAATTACTGGAAGCGATGGATGTCTGAAACTTTAGAGATGCAGATGGCGTTGGATGAATCCCAGCCCAAGGCCCGAGGAGCAGATGAGAAAAGTGTTGAGTCGGAAGTCCTTCTGCATCCCTCATTCTGTTGTGCCTCTTTTCTGAATGTACTTTTGTCTCTTTACCCCTCCCCTCCCCAAGATACATTTAAGGAGTTTCTAAGCCAGTCTCAGAAACCTCACGTCTGTTTTTCTGCATTACATCATGTACGTATAGTTAGTTCTCTGGAAAACAAACTACTGTGATAACTCCAAACTCTTGAATGAGGAGGCAAGCATCAGCCTTCCTCTGTCCTGTGCCCAGCTCATGGTGTCTCTCCTGAGAAAGTGTAACAAGCTAGAAGATGACATTTTCACGTCCAGTTGCATCTAGCATCCACAGCTGGTATGTAGCGTGTCCCAGTGGCTCTTGGTGAGCAGCCATGTTTCTTCTGGAGAAAAAGAAATAGTCACAAACGACAAGATGCCGGTGTGTGCTTTCATTGCAGAAAAGTGATGGTTACTTACCTGTTCTAAAATTAGCTTTCCCTTAGGTATCTGCTAGTTTACAAAAAAAAAAAAAAAAGACTGACTGTGTTGTCACGTGATTGTTTCTTCTCTTGCAGACTGACATGTCTCATTTTTCTTCAGAGTTAAATCATCACACCATTATAACTGCAGGGCTCAGCTACTCTCCAACACCTTGCCTGAGAAATTCACTATTTTTAAACTGTGCACTTTTTCATCCAACTTCCTCCAGACCTCCATTGTTCAGACTTGGCATTCATTGGTGTTCTTAGTTTTTATAAGTCCAAAGAGAAAGTGGAATGTTTCCTGAAGTATAAATAAGTAATAAAAGCGGTGTGCACATAGAATACACTCTTCATTCTTCAAGGGTGGTTTTTTCATTGCTTTTTTTTTTTAAAAAAAAAGTGTGTGTGTGTGTGTGTGTGTGTGTGTGTGTGTGTGAGAGAGAGAGAGAGAGAGAGAGAGAGAGAGAGAGAGAGAGAGATATCAATCTCTGGGGAAAAGACTGTTAAATGAAGGTATGACTCCGGATCATCTGTCTTCTGAGTTTCCATAGAGCTGAGTAAGCTTCCCCTTCTGTATTTGCCTAAATGAGTTCTATATTCCATAGCCATATTCATGACAGAAGGTTTGCAGAAGTGTGTGTGTGTGTGTGTGTGTGTAGAGGACAGAAGAGGGTATCAGATTCCTGGAGCTGGAGGTACAACTAGTTATGAGCTGCTCAGCAATCCTGGGAGCCAACCACTGAGCATCTCTGCAGCACCAGAATGTGTGTTTTAATAACCACATAAGGAATAGTACCATTATTAAATGATACACAAACTAGTTATTTCTTGTATGCTATCAGATAAAATCCAGATACAGTGCTTCCGTTGGTTTCTGACACACACAGGTAGGGCACGGCTGTGAAACTCTGGATCCTGAACAGGCTGCATGGTGCAGCGAATCAGAGGACAGCCCTAAATAAAGTTCCTGTTTATTCTGCTTATGTTTTATAATATGTTTGTTATTAAATTAACTTTTTGTACGTTGGACAGAGGACACAACGCAAAAGGGAGTTTTTGCAAAGCTTGAAACAGTTTCATCATAAATGTTCTATTATAAAGTGTCCAATTCTCATCTTCGGATATGCAATATTAACAAAGGTTATATGATAAACTTGCCGATTCTTCTCTACAGAGTCATTTGCCTTGCTTTCTGCTGTATATGTGTTTGGGATAATTCATTGTAAGTTGTCTTCTGTATGCTGCCCGAGAACCAACAGGCATATGTGTTCCTTAGTAGATTACTTTTTGAATCTATTTGAATGACTTAATTTTTTTTTTTTTTTTTGGTTTTTTGAGACAGGATTTCTCTGTGTATTCCTGGCTATCCTGGAACTCACTCTGTAGACCAGGCTGGCCTCGAACTCAGAAATCCACCTGCCTCTGCCTCCCAAGTGCTGGGATTAAAGGCGTGCGTCACCACCACCTGGCCTGAATGGCTTAATTCTAATAAGAATTCTCTTTGTTCTTTTTGCAGCAATGTCATCTTACCTTTTAATTATTAAAACAGAGCTTCCTGCTGCTATTTCGGAATTTTTGCCTAGTGACCACAGTGGGTAAGAAAAAAATGTTCCATTGTATCCATTCATCCACCGGCCCATCCATTCATAATCTCTTCATCCATTTGTCCATTATGCTTTTATTAAAACCTAGTGGCAAGGGAAAGAAATACAGTGCTTGTCCTCAGGATTCTTACAGGGTTTGCAGAGTGGAGCAGCACTAGAGGAAACATTGTTCACGTGTCTGCACATGTCTGCTGATGACCAACCACAGAAGCCCCACTCCCTGTGCTCCACGAAGGTAAAGGCCAAGTCAAGTGTGAATTAGCTCTTAGAAAAAAGGAAGGAAGCATCTAAGGGTATGAAGATGGAGATTGTTAGGGGAAGCCTCAGGATCTCTACATGGGAGGGACATGAAGTGATCTCTGCTGTCACCTCTCAGCAAGATGTCGTGACAAAGAATATGATGGTTGCAGCCACTGTGTGAGGTTCATATTAGACAGCATACAGAACTGTGGGTGAAACCTTGTGTTACTTAGCCTGTGTTAATACTATAAATAAGGCCGGACCACGGACGGCATACTGCCTAGCTCCTTTGAAAGCACAGGCTCCTACAGAATGCTGACTTAGCTATTTATGGGTAAGGAACCCACATTCATTATGCCTTTCTTTTTTTCTTTTTTCTTTTTTCTTTTTTTTTATGTCTAGAACGAGACTTCCTTTTTTATCCAAGAAAAATAAACTTGGGTTAAGCCTTCTAATTGTCCAGTTTTCAAACCACAACAAAGGACTGCCCTGTTTCTAGACTGGAGTATTTGGTTGTTTTTCCCCAGTACTCAAGCTTATGTGGAATGCAGGGGAAACTTCAGAATTGAGTTTTCAGCTTAGAGAAGTTGGCTTCTTGAAGAAACAGACAAGTGCAGGTGTGTGTGTAAGGAAAGTCATTATTTGCCATCTAAATAGGAACTGTCAAGATGGCATTAAAATGGGGATAATGACATCCTTCCTGATCTTCATCCTCAGGTGTCCTTCACGTACCACTTTGGAGCTCATTAGGGCCCCACAGCATGCTCCCCGATTCCTGGATTTACGGCCAGCTCTACCTGGTTGCGTTCTGATTATTGATTATGCTCTGTTAGACATCTGGCTGTTCTAAGAAGTAGCTGTGTGAAATGTATTTTTTTGTATTTGTTGTAAAAATCTTAACCACTTTTGTTATTTGAATTCCAAGTGAAAAATATGCATATGGGGCTAAGAACTCAAGGCAGTGTGAGGAAGAATTATAAAGTAAGGAAACACATATCCCATTCATTTCATGCAAGTTAGCCACGAGCATCCAGCTCTTGACCAGCTAGCATGTCGTGAGCTGTGAGTCTCTTTACCTGACGCTTTGAGGGCACCAATGAGGGATGAGAGTACAACTCTCAGACAAGTGTTCTCCAACATGCCCAAGGCCCTGGGTTCAATTCTTAGTACCAGAAAAAAGGCAAAAACAGACAAGCTTTTTGAAAAGGCTGGAGAGGCTTAGCGGTTAAGAGCACCAACTGCTTTTTTAGAAGATCTGGGTTCAATTCCTAGCACCCACATGGCAGCTCACAACTGTTTCTAGCTCCAGTTCCTAAGGGGATCTGATGCCCTCAAACCAACAGACATACATGTAGGCAAAAGTAACAGTGTACATAAAACAAATTCATTAACTCATTAATTGATTAAAGAAAAAGAGGTCACCAGTGGCCTATCTTTGTTTAATTGCTTCCTTTACAGAGTTATTATAATGATCGAATAAGATAGTATGTGTGAACATGCTTATTTGTGTGTAACACTGTGTACATGAGGAGAACAGGGAACTTCCAGCTACCGTGATTGTATGAAAAGGATTCAGATTGCCAGGAAGCTCAGAGTCAAACATGAATAACCTGTGGATCCTGACAGTTGTCAGATGTCACTGAGCTGCTTGTCTATTTTCTGTTTTAGTTTAAGTCCTGGATTCGGTGACTTCTATTAACATGTTTTAAAGTAAACTTCGGAACACTTAAGGTGCTCTGAAGTAGGACTGCTATTAAAACTGGGGGTTTTATCTGCTAAAACATGTTCACTTTAAATCAGTTGTCATGTCTACTGTTGCTTTCTCGTTTGTTTCAAACAGTTGAAAACGCCTGTTTCTCTTGTCTTAGTAAAAACCTTTCTATAAATGTTCTCTTTCTAGCACGAATGGGCTTTAAAAACTGCAGGCTTCAATCACTTTACCGATTTTCACCCACAGTGTGTGAAAACAGCACATTTTTGATAACTCGTATTGTTTTACATGTCCTGTATTCATTTATTTAGAAGCTATATTAATTGGATACAGGGCATTACATTAGTCTTGTAACGTCAGAGACAGATGTCACGGTAATGAGCATGTCGTGAGGGCAGTTTGTTCCTAGGTGAGTTGTGTAGCAGTAGTTCTTCACTGAGATCACGTGATATTGATGTTTTATTTTGACATTTGGTTTACCATAAGTTTAGCTATGATCTTTCAAGTGTCTTTATTTTCTGGGTTGTCTGTGAGTATAGATAGCTTCATGAGCTGTGACCCTTTATAAAGATGCTGTCAAATTACTTTGTGTTCATATATTCTAATTTCAAAAAGTTACTATTGGAAATCCAAATCAGTAATACTCATGCCAAACTCTTGTGATACATCTATATTTTTCCTAGAATAACTTGTATTTTTTAAATCTATAGCTGTTAAAAGTTGGGAGCTCTCTGTTAACATTTAATGGTCTTGTCAGGGGACTATGATTGACACAATTAAGTTGTCTTGCATTTGAGTTACATAATTGATATGGGATGTGAGCACGATCCTAATTGAGAACATACGATACTCTTGTTCCATTCTAGTCGAGAATGAAATTAAAGCAACTTATAAATAAATCTGGTTTTCATTAAAAAATGGAAAACACATCTGCGTGCCAAGCATTTGCAATCCAGCTAAGGATTTATACTCTGTGTTTCATAGCTGGAGCATTTTTATCATATAGGATTAAATCCACAGATCAAACAAGTTCTCTAGGAAGTATAAAACCTTTTACTCTAATTCTTTTGGCTCAAAGAGAATGTACATTTAGGTCACAGTAGAAAAACAGGAGTTTGGTTAGATAATTCTTTTTTTCTCCTCTTAGAAAAAAATTTATGTGCAATAAATTATCTTAAAATCTTGGTTTGCAAAATAAATGTATTTAATATGTACTTTTAAAGACTGCTTATTGCTGGTTTGTATTCTCTGGGCTTAGACTTAATCTCATTTATTCTTTGGACAATCTCCATTGCCAAACACAGTGCAATTGTCTGGGACCTGCAAGTGAAATGTGAACTCACTCTGCCGGTCTTACTATGTGGCCTTTATTGATAATGAATGAATGATAAAGAAATCATTGTCTTAATGATTGATTTTACTAACATCAATCAACAAGTATAAGAAATGATTCATAATAACCAGTCTCCAGGTCTAGACAAACTGTTTTTAAAACAAAATCCTTTTCATATTAAGATTTCTAAGTTCAGTCCTGAAGAGAAAGTGAAGCATGACCTTGGAATAGATGAAGGATCATCTGAAAACCAAACAAACAAACAAAAAAATGCCATAAACTCAGACTAGCTGCTGGGTCTACATGTTTTCTAATTCCTGCTGTCAAGAGCCCACGGTCTTCACACAAGAAGTGACAATGCTGGACAGGGTGACTTGAGCCCCTTCCAGCCCAAGCATTCCCTAACACTGCAAGTGTGATGCTTTCACACCCTATAGTCGGGGCTGTGCCAGTCTCCACTCTCGAGGATATAACCATTTTTTTCTTTTTTTCTTTTCTTTTTTTTTTTTTTTCTGATTAGAACCCTGATCATGAGCTGTACTGTCTTAACAGATATTCAGTGTACAATGCATCGTTGTTATCCGGCAGACACAGCAGCAGTAACAGATGGAGCCTGCCCCGCTGCTCCCTCGGGGCCATTTTCTACTGGCACTGCAACTGTCTGGGTCTGATACCGGGTCCCAGAAGGAAGGACGTTTCAGACATAGAGCCTGGGCTCACTGCCAGCTTCAGAGTTTAGTTGCCAGGTGTTTCTTGGGAAGGGCTATTTTGAAGTTCCTATTTGGGCTTTTTAATGCAAGAGTGACTAGAAGATGGACATGCTGAGTATCAGTTTGTGTTTATTCTATGGTTGTTTTCATAATTCTTCCTGCACACCAGCCACTGAGGGCCGCGTGCTACAGAGCACAGCATCAGCCCTGCAGAGCAGGAATACTTGTGCATCTTTGCACTTGCAGAGGACAGGAGTTAGAGCAGGGCAGGGGAAGTGGCCATGGCTTGTTCTCTGCTGCTGCTGCTCCTCCTGTTCTCTCAAAGAGGATGTTGTCACTACCAGCAGCAAAGAGTAAAGGTCTAGCAGAAAGGGTGTCCTCACAAGCCAGGGTGTAATGGAAGGAAAACTCCCTAAATTTGTCAGGGCAGTGGGACACTGGCTACCTGTTGAGAGTGCAAGAGGATAGTTTATCTCTGGGCAAGGGGGTGGGGAGCCAGGGTCCCACAGGGGTGCGGGGCTATGGAGGTGGGTAGGTTGATTTGAAAGCATATACCAAACACTTACTATAGGACTCCCCAACTATAGGAATCCCCATTGATCTTTGATGTTTCCCAGACCTGTTATATCCTGGGTTTTCTTTCATTTGTTCATTTTCCCAGACAGGGTTTCTCAGTGTAGCCCTGGCTGTCCTGAAACTCACTCTGTAGACCAGGCTCTCCTCAAACTCAGGTGTCTGCCTTCCTCTGCCTCCCAAGTGCTGGGATTAAAGGCGTGCGCCACCACTGCCCGGCTGGGTTTTATTTCCTTACATTGTTACAATTCTGTTTATACTTAAAATGTTTTGCTGATCTTCTTGGTTAATTGCTACACTTTCACTGTGCTGGTTACATGTTGCCATTCTTTTTCAGAGAGTACTAACTGAACAATAACATAGTAATACATGTCGGACCAGTTATATCACATCCTTGACCATTTTACTAACTTAATTTCAATAATCTCAGGATAGATACATTTAACTAGCAACTGTTATTAGATTTTTCTTTCTATATATTTGCTACTTCATGTACTTCTATCATGAATTATTTGTCTTTCACATGTGCATGTATTAAGGTCTTTGGGAATTTTAACTTTAAATTTTTTTCTATAGACATATTAAGAAATTAAAATTATATGTGTACCCATGTATTACAACCATATAGTAATAGCCACTTTTTATATTCTAGATATAGCCTTCTGACTTTTAAAATATATATTATTAAAAATAATTAAATATTTTATTTATATTTCATATTTATATTATATATTTATTATATATAATGTTTTGTGTTTTTATATATAAATATGTATTTATTGTATGTAACATTAAATAATATTTTGTATATATTTTATACATATACATAAATATATATGTATTTTATATACATATTTTATATATAATATAGATAAATATATGAAATATGTAATATTATAAGTAAATTGAATTTAAATATGTTATTATTATTAAATATATGTTCAGAGTGTTACTTTTTCCTCTCTGTGGTGAAATTTATCTTTCATTCTTTTTGTGTATGAATGTGTGTGTGTACATGTGTGTGCACATGTGTATGCACATGTGTGTGGAGATCAGAGGACAACCTGGGGTGTTGTTTCTTTGGTTCTGTTCACTTCTTTCTTTTAAGATGAGGTCTTTCACTATGTTTAAACTTGCTAATGAGGCTGACCTGGCCAGCAAGCCTGCCTCCAGGTCCCCAGAGCACAGTGGGTTTGTGCCAGCTGCCCAGCTTTTTTTTTTTTTTTTTTTTTTTTTTTGAGGTGGGTTCTGTGGATCTAATGTAATTCCTCATGCTTGCAAGGCAGCCACTTCACTGACAGGCCCCGCCCAGCCCCATGTGCCTTCTTTATTAGCAAGCATGTGATCACACACTAACCCTTCTGATGCAGTGTTTTACAGAAAAGGTTAGCATTTTTAAACTAATAATTCAGACCCCTTCCTGAAACTCTGGAGAAATGTGGAGAGGTACGACAAGGAAAATGACCCCTTGCTTTATCACCCAGAAACAATGACATTCCTGTCCAATTTTAGTAATATTTTTATTTTTTCTCCAAACAGTGTCAGACTACACACACACACTCATTATATCCATTTTTTTGAAGCTGTACTATTACATATTTGCTTGCTTCCAGTTTTCATGTTTTTTTTTTTGATTTTCGTTATTTTAAATGTTCTCAATAAGTATCATTTTATAAAAGTCTCTGTTCCCTATCGCTGATGTTTTCGTTGTTCATGGCATTGTATAAGTCTTATAAACGTAATTATTTGAAGACTCTAAGCATCCATTGCCAGTTTCTTTCCATATGGGAATGAATACAGTTTTAGCTTCCAGCAGTATTTGGCATACCTCAGTAGTCCCCACCAATAGGGGTTATTATGTCGTTTTTAAGTATTTGTTATTTTGGTAATTGAAAAAATGGCATCTCATCTCATTGTGTGTTTGTTTTGGTTTAAGTGTTGTTTGGAGGCAAGGTCTCACTGTGTAGTCCACAGCAGCCTCAAACTGTTGATCTTGCCTTTATACTGAGTTACAGGCTTATAGCAAGACTATTTTAATACATTCCCTAAATTCATATTTATTATTAATAGTGCAAGGGTTTCCTAAGAACATTTAATAAAAAAGTGGGGCATTTTTTAATGGATGATCTCGCTCCCTGTCTGTCTCCCTCCCCCCACCCCCTCTGAGTGCGTGTGTGTGTGCGTGTGTGTGTGTGTGTGTGTGTGTGTGTGAATCCTATGTCCTGTGCCTAACTGTTTTTCCTGACAGGTCCTGGTACCTTGATGGCCAGTTGCTGTTAATCATCATCTGTGTAGGCGTCGTGTTCCCTCTCTCACTGCTCCCCAAGATAGGTGAGTCTGAAAGAGCACGGTCTACGGGAGGAGGGGGGGGGTTAACCTCAACCCCATGGTTGAGAAGAGTAGTGTTTGTGAGTCCTTTTAAACTTGGCCTATTTTTGGCTGCTCCATCCTCAGCCCTGCTTAGCTAACATACGACTTGGCTTACAGTAGCGTTTTGTCTGCACAGCCAACTGAAGTCCTTACAGCAGAGCATTGAGGACCAAACCTTCCTGTGCGTTGCACTGCTTTCTGCAACCCGGTTCCCCTTCTGCTGTGCAGAGCTACATAATGATGTGTGGCAGGCAGGCCCTAGGCAGGCAGGCCCTAGGCAGGCGGGCCCTAGGCCCAGACACCAAGCTGCAATAGAAAACATGCCCGAGATGGAGGCATGGCTCTATTTGTAAGTCGGGATCACTTGCCTTATAAATTGTTTTTTATTTTATTGGTATTTTACAGGCTTTCTTGGCTACACAAGCAGTCTATCATTTTTCTTTATGGTGTTCTTTGCTCTTGTGGTAAGTTTAAAATATAACACATTGCTCATTTCATCTCCAAATGCAACTGTGTTAGTGACGTCTCTAGCTGCTTTGCACTGGACCCCATAGCCTGCTGTATATTATTAACAGCATTATTCTTTAACATAGAATTAATTTCAGTCACAGGATTATTCATGTTGTCCATTTTAAAGAAGCTTAAAACAGATTTAGTATCTTGTAGTTCACCAGAAAGGGACACACAGCACTTGCTAGGACTCTAGGTAGGGTAGACCCTGGACGGCTGTAGCACTCTGTGGAGCAGTGGGCTCTGCTCTGTCAATCAGCTAACACAGAGCGTCCTGATGCCTTCTTCCACTGATGATATTATAGTCTGAGACTTGGATGGAAAGCTCTAAAAAGAACTGGGATACGAATGCAGTCCTGTCCGCCCTGCGTATTCAGCATAAAATGTTCCCATAGAGATAATATTGGGAATAATATTTCTCTTCATATACAGAAAATATATTTTTAATTATCTGATTTTTATTATATATCAGATGGCAGTTTAACTTATTTTATATTTATAAAATAATTTAACATAGGCTTTTTCATTTTTCTTAGATCCTTGCATATAAGATTTTAATAAACTTTTTCCTTTGCGCTGTATTTTATTCCATACTAAGTATATAAATGTCAAACCTTACATAGGATGAAATATTTTTAATTTGCCGGGAATATGTATATCCCAAATAACCTTTTTCTAAGCATTTAACTTTCTCTTAATTACTGATAAAGGAATCAAGGGGAGGTGTCACACATAAACAAGCAGGCTCTAGAGCCAGATTCCAAAGCTGTCAAAACAGTCCCTGGACTGGGAAGATAGTTCTGCGGGTAGTGTTTGCCTTGCCAAGATCACAGCTTGCATTCAGTTCCCAGGACCCATGTGAAAAGTTGGGCGAGCTGTAATGCTTACGTTCCAGCGCTGGAGAGGCAGAGGCGTGGATTTCTGGGTCTCTTTGGCCAGCCAACCCAGCCGATTCCTACTCAGTGGACTCTAGGCCAATGAGAGATTCTCAAAAAGCAAGATGAACGACCCCTGAATAATGATACCTGAGGTTGACTTCTGACCTCCACATGTGCACACAAAGTCACATACACATGCACACAGAGCCACACAAACATGCATCCCCACTATGTATATGCACACTAGTCATATTGGCATCGCATCTGTCTTCATTAAATCATCTTCTAAGACACAGAATGAAGCAACTTAAAACAAGTGCAAGTAACCCTGATTATACTCTTCATAAACATCTAGATTGTAAGGAATCTGCTAAATCTGAAATATTTAACAATGCTTCGTCATTTTTTAATTTATCTACATTAAAATTATACCTCTACCCACCCCAGTTGTCATTGAAATAATGCATTTAGCATATACTTTTTAGGTTCCGTACTATAGAGAGAAACAGTATGTATTTTCATTACTAGGTTGTTGTTGAGAAGCATCTGCATGGTTAGACAGAATCCCACATATACATAGGAATGTATGGATTTTAATCGCATGTAGATAACATATTAAATTTTGCCCTGGCGCTTAATCGACAAGGCAAGCATTTCCTAGGTAGAAGTAATTCCGTTTTCACAGTCAATAGCTTACCACAGGTGGAATGTATTGATACAATGTGTCTGTTCCAGTGTTTGGTTTCTGCTGCAGCAGATACTCTTTAATTCAATGCAGGTTTCTGCTGCGGGAGTCACATGGAAATCATTCTCCCATATTAATCCCGATGCCCCACAAATCATCTACTTGGATTTCTACCTGTGAGAAGAGTTGAAATTGAGATTCCAGCAAGACTGTGATAGTTATACTTTTTTTAATGCTGTTTTTTTATTGCCATGTTTATTATAGATTCTATTTCTATAATTTTTGTGTTTTGTTTTTGTTTTCTGAGACAGGGTTTCACTGTGTAACCCTGGCTGGCAGTGAGCTTACTATGTAGACCAGACAGGCCTGGAATATACAGAAATATACAGCCCATGCCTCTACCTCCTTAGGGCTGGGATTCAAACTGTTCTCTACCATGCTCAGCTAACTGACATTTAAAAAAAAAATATGTGCCAGTTTTTTAAAATGTGAGACTCCTAGTGGTTCTCTCCTGTCTTGGGGCTGGGTGCCAGCCCATTCGTCACCTGTCTCTGCATCTCTGGACAGTGATTATTTTAAGAATGCGTATGCATAGTCTATTACATTTTTATTATATTTTATAGAATCAATCCAGAAAACATTTTCTTAATTGTACTCATCAAACATTGCAGATCAAAGTGTCTTTACTAGCTGTTCTCCCAGAGCCTGATTTTCCTTAAAAATTTAGCATAAATTTTCCTTTGAGAGTATCATAATTTAAACACACGTTTCAGTTTGGCAGTTGCTCAAAGTGACAGTAACAGATGCCTTCATCCTTTCTTTTTCTAACCTATCTTCTTGTCACCAGCATTGAGAGGGGTGGGGAGAGTTGCTGAGATCTCTGTAAAGCAACATGGGAGGCGGTAAGCTGGGAGCTGCCCTGCAGAAATGGTAGCTGTCGAGGAGGGCGGAGGAGGAAGGGCCTTTTGTGCAAGTGCATGAAGTATTTTTAGTGCCTTCGGTGATTTCTCTTATTCTCTTTCCATCCCCCAGAGTTACCTTCTTACCCAGTCTGTCTTCAGCACCAAGCAAGGACTCCCTGTGACTCTCTGCTCTCTTGTGCTTGGGTCTCTGCCCACTCCTCACCTGTCTGCGTCTCTCTCCACCCTATTCCACCATACAGGTTTGAAGTGGGGATGACCCACAGGAGTTAGCTGTAATAATGGACTTTATGTTAGTATAAAATCAAGTTGCCAATAATTCCTTCTAATCAATGAAATAGGCTATATTGCATCTTGAAGGATTTTGACTTGGCGTTCAAGGCCTGGTGTTCAGCAGGCTCAGGAAGCCAGGAGGCACTGTTGCTGTCAGAGACTGACCCCCGACTGCCGACTGCACACACACACACACACACACACACACACACACACACACACACACGTAAGAGGAAAGCGGGAGACACTGAATTTGGAGTGGCATCAGTAAGGCTGAAAAGAGCCCAGGGGTGGCCTTGCTTTTCCAGCTACCTTCATCTCACCCACACTCCATCTCTTTTAACAAACCAAACCAACAGAAACAACTTTTCAGGAAAAAAAAAAAAAGATTATGAGAGTCTTGTTGTGTTCTTGCCTCTTGATAAATTGATGGTTGCAGTTGGTTTTACACTGAGAACTTACCTGGAAGTGCCCAGTTTGTCCTTAGACACCCCACCCCCTTTGGGGTTAGATTTTAAATTAAAAGTGACTCTTGGGTTCTCTCATTAACTTAATCCTAAAAGTGTGTGTTTTCTTTAGATTTATCACTGTATAAAATTTTGATTGAATTTGTTAAAATCCCAAACTAGATAAGTTCCAAATAGGAACAGCATTTACTTACTGGTCTCCAACAAAGACAAATACTTCCTTTCTTCTCTCTGCCCCTTTGTATGCTGGGATTTAGCCTGGAGCAAACATTTACGGAGTAATTATTTGCCTGCACCAAGGGCTACAATGGCAGTGTTGACACAGCCACCACTGTGGCTGTAGGAACCAGGCAGCCACAATTAAGAGGCCAATCCTGAGGCATGCCCATTGATGGTGTCTGGGAAACAGCATCCCTCTGGATTTCTTTCTGTTTTTTTAAAAATGTATTTTTGCCAGCTGGAGTTCCCTAGCTGTGCGCCGGTGTTCTGGCCAGCTCTCTCCACGCTCACCAATAGCACAGCCAGGGAGAACTGAAGAGGTGAGAGTCTGTGTTCATCGGGACGCCAGCGAGCACACTGGGAACTAAGTCTTCCTCATTCCTGCTCTCTTCTGCTCTGTCTGCTACTGCCACGAATAAATAGCCTTCACAGTCATCACTGAAAACATGCTTCCTCCTTGAGTTGCACTTTAAAAACAAAACCAGGGGACTGTTGGAGTTTTGAAAACTGACACAGGAGCACACAGTCTTTTATGGGCAGGATTCCCCACTGATCACATGTAAAGCACACTTGTCATCCTGTTCCCCTTCCCTCCGCCCAGCGACCATGTTAAAGGGTGACCGAATTCTATCTGGGAAAATCACAGCATCAAGGAAACTTCTGTTAGCCTCTTGTTTGGCTTTATTGAAGACATCAACTTGTAATGAATTTTATTACAGATCATCTAAGTGCTGGTTGCATTTACTTTTCCCAGGTAGTAATTAAAAAATGGGCCGTTCCTTGTCCTGTGACCTTAAATTGCATCAATGCTGTCTTTCAGGTAATAATTTTTAGCTTTTCTTAAATTTTTGACTTTTCAACTAAAAAAAGAAATGGAAAATAAATGACTATTTTCCTAATTGGTGAAAGGTAATAGTTACATAGCATTTTAAAACTTTTCTTTGAAGTAATTTGATTTGAAATTTTAGTAGTAATAAATTCATCATATTTGTTGATGTATTCTGACTTTTAATACCTATTGGCTTTTCTTTTCCCCTGAATACTCTTAAACAGATTTCAAACGCTACAGATGACTGTAACCCAAAGCTCTTTCGTTTCTCCAAAGAGGTGTGTAAGTTATTAACAGATACTTTTGCTTGATTTTTCACATTTCAAGTTTTAAGAGATTTGTGTTACAGGGTCTCTTAGGTCTTTGTACCTGTAACTAATTAATTTTCATGAAAGTGCTAAGTATAGGATTGCCTACCAGAAGAATAATATTATTTAACACAGGGTGGCCCATTATGAAACAGCCACCTTTTTCTTTTCTTTCTTTTGGCATGCTTTTAAATGGAGCCTGTTTTAAATGGGCCTTTGCCTAAAAGAACAGATTTACCAAATGTCTGGTCTGGCCAGTAAGGTCCTCTGTGGATACGGTTTTCCTGTTGCGCTCTGGACTTGTAAAGCTAAATCGCCAATTACATCAAAAACTCCTCCCTGGTGAGCAGGACTTTGGTCTCTAGCTAAACAGCCTCATCAATGGGCCAGCACTTGAGTACTGCCAGTATACCTTCTGAGCAGCATTCCAGGGGAATTTATGATGTTCAGAGCAAAGACCAGAAACCTAAGTCTCATGCCCACTCTGACAGCTGTAGGACCCGAAAATGCCTGGAAGAGTCCCTGAGCACGAGCAGATAGACAGGGACTGCTGTTTGCATGGTGCCTGCCTTGCTCCAGTGGAAAAAGCAGAGTCTTCCTGTTTCTGAGAGTCTCTTCCTCTACTTTGTTTTTCTACTGAAATGTTGTTTTGTAGGTCCCGGACACCAGACTCTCCTCTGCTCGTCACAGCTTTGTCAGGATAGAATGTTAACGTGGTTAGTCCTCCGTGCAAAACTTTCCTTTTCATCTCCAGTTTATAACTAAGAAATCACTCCCAAGCCTTGCGAGGGAGGTCGCCACATCTTTCACATGGCGAAGACTTCCGTGGACCTTAAAGATCAGGGCAGGATAATTGACAGGCTGGGAAACTGAGCAGTGTATGAAACAGAGAGCTTGTGTTAAACTCTTACTCCCTAATACGGCTTCAAGGAACACAACTTCCTAGGTACTATATCCAAAGGACGTCTTCATCTGGAACTTCTTCTGGTGAAGAGCCCAACACTAGCTAAGGAGAAATATTTTTAGACCAGAAAAGAGAAAATAAATCATTACCATCCATTTGTTAAAGACAGTTCTTTCATTTAGAGGGCAATAACATTTGGCGTGCTAGTTTTCTCCGGCTCTTAAGTATTCTAATAATAATTTTTAAAGAAACTTTAGGCTTATGTATAACATGGGATCCTAAGGAGTTTTTCGAGTCTAGAATTAATGATCTTTGTGCTCATTAAGAAAGAACTTGGTCATGGATTCTGGCAGTACAAAGCTGTGGCTTCTATTTGGAGTACTTACTTGGACCGAGTAAGTGAAAGCAGATTGGAAAGCATTGGCGTTTTTGCTGCTTCGATAATGAGATGTATTTAAATCTTGCACACCTTAAGAATGACTGGAATTATAATAAAAATTATTTTAAATGTAGCTATTTATATGTTACCTAAATTTAGTTTTAGTTTTATCTTATCCAAATAATGTAGAAGATGGTAACTGTAATAAAGCAACTGATATGAGAGGCCAGCCAGCAACTGTGGGGTCAGAGTAAGCAAGCCACCCATAAGCTATAGTAGTTGCTAATGACTGCACTCTCTCTCTCTCTCTCTCTCTCTCTCTCTCTCTCTCTCTCTCTCTGCCTCTCCCTCTCTCTCTCTGCCTCTCCCCCTGCCACCCATCTTTAAAAAGAACTTTCTTGTTGGTTCTGACAAGATGGCTCAGTTGTATTGTTGAATGCCTGAGGCCAAGCCTGAGGCCCTGATGACTCCTCCTAGTTACTCTCTGACCTCTGCAAGTGCTAGGTGGTGTGGGTGTGTGGGCACACACATACACAAAAATAAATAAATAAAAATGGAATTAAAACAAAAAGAACTGAGTTTATTATCAAATAAAAATGGCATAGCATTACTAATATTTTGTTCTAAATGTTTTTCAGAGTGTTTACGCCATACCGACCATGGCCTTTTCATTTCTCTGCCATACCTCAGTGTTGCCCATCTACTGTGAGCTCCAAAGGTACTGTGGAACAACGCCGTGGCCTTCAGATCTAGCCACATTCTCATTTATGAACTCTTCCCCATCGCCCTGAATTCTAAGTGTTAGCTTACAAAAGCAAACAAACGAGGCACTGTCAGAGTTTTATTACTGTGAAGAGACTCCATGACCACAGCAACTCTGATATAGGAAACTATCTAACTGGGGCTGGCTAATGGTTCAGAGGTTTAGTCCATTGTCATCATGGTGGGGAACATGGCAGTGTGCAGGCAGACATAGTGCTGGAGGAGCCAAGAGTTCTACATCTGTATCCATAGGCATCAGGAGGAGACTGTGTGCCACACTGGGTGCAGCTTGAACATAGGAGAGCTCAAAGCCCACCCCTGCAGTGACACACTTCCTCCAGTAAGGCCACACTCCCTAATAGTGCCACTCCCTATGAGCCAAGCATTCAAACACATGAGTTTATGGGGGCCAATTCCCATTCAAACCACCAAATCAACCAAGAGCTAATTTCGTCCTCATTGGGAATGTTACCAGTGACACCATCTTCTGTCTGTATCAACTTGAGAACTCTAGTGTATAGTCATCGATGAACTCATGATTGTCCCTGACTGGCCTGTGATTTTCGTTTCTTCAGATATGATTCAGATCACTAGCTCTGTCAACCTCTACTAGGTTTGTTTGTTTGTTTGTTTGTTTGTTTCAGCCCTTCAAAGAAAAGGATGCAGAATGTGACCAACACAGCAATTGCATTGAGCTTCCTGATTTACTTTGTGTCTGCACTCTTTGGCTACCTCACTTTTTATGGTGAGTATATTCTTAATTCTTAATTATGTGACGAAAGAAGGACCGATGCCCTCACCCCACCTGTGGCCTTGCTTTCTGACGTTTGCTAATACGGTCATCTGTTCAGGCCATTTCAGCAGTGTGGCAAATCTGACAAATCACTTTGTAGGTTTGTAGAAACATTTTTTTCCTCTTTTGAGACTTTTGCCTTTATTTTTAATTATGTGTATGTTTGTGCTGAGTATGAATTTGTGTGTGTAAATGCAGTGCCTGTGGAGGTCAGAGGAGGGTCCCTGGGAGCTGGAGTTACAGGTAGCTTTGAGCTGCACAACTTGAATGTCAAAACTCCTGTTCTCTGTGAGAGCAGTACACATTCTTAACAGCTAAGCCATATCTCAAGCCCTAAAATTTTTTTTCTTAGACTTTTAGATAAAATTTCAAGCATCTTAGTGTCTTTGTAAAATAATGCTTTGGGTTTTTTTAAATTGTATATTGGGTATGGTGGTACACACTTTTAATCCCAGCATTCAAGAGACAGAGGCAGGTGGATATCTGAGTTCGAGGCCAGCTTGGTCTCTATAGTGAATTCTAGGACAGCCGGGGCTACACAAAGAGACCTTGTCTCAAAAAAAAAAAAAAAAAAAAAAACACCCAGTATTTTAGACTCTAGACGATAAACGTCGAGGTTAGGAGAGTAACCCATGGCAATAATTACAGAAGAGCAACTCCAGGAAGCCAACAGAATGGCTCAGCTGTGCACATCTCTGCCTTCGTTTTCACACCATCCAGGAAAGTGTGCCTCCCAGGCTGGACGCCGTCCGTGCCTGCGCCCAGGCCGGGAACGTGAGGCAGACTGTCAGACTTCCTCCTCATCAGATGAAAACAGAATATAAATATACATGTTGCATTTGGCTGTGAGGTTTACTAGTCTAGAGACTGAGCTCAGTCGGACCTTTCTTTGGTATGATCCTAAAACTGGGCTTCATGGCTTCCAAAAAGATACATCATGCCACGGCGGCTGCATATATCTTTAATTGCAATTATTACCCTTTATAAACACTCCTGATTATCACTTACTTCGATTCATAGGATGAAAAGACTTTCAAATCTATAAATCTTTATGGTTTTAGAATATTGGGTGTCATGCTTGGTGAGTTTTGGATTTCAGAGTATTTTACATTTCAGTTTTCAGATCATTCTATTCATCCTGTGTTCAGTTTGGGAATCTTCAATGTTGATCAGTGCCTAATAAATACAGACCCCTTCCCCTCCCTGTAGGTCAATAGAACAACCTGGAAGAAGTCTCCCACTAATATCCAGGATAATTAAGAAATAGTCATGAGAGTCCCATGTCTAACTGAGTGCTTCTGAGCTCTAGATAGCCTAACAAGGAACACCTCAGTGGAGGCGGGAAAGGGATTCAGCCTGTGAGCTGGGTTGGGTGTTTTACTAAGATTGCTTCCATCCTCATAACTCAAAGACAGGTCTGTTTAGATTGACTAATGAGGCCACTACCTCCAGATATGAAGTGGAGCTGAAGCTTGAATTCTGTCTTTCTTTCTCCAAATCTATAAATCTACAAAGCCGTCAACACTCTGCTACCTTTGGAAAACATAAAACCCAGGCTGTGTTCCTTTGTTTTGGGTTCTAATTAAAGTGAACTTTAGGAAGCCATGGCTTACCTAAGCCCCTATCATATGTTTATCTGTTATCCATACAGATGAAATGTTTTCTAGACAGAGATTTGCCATGCTATCAAGTAAAGCCGTCAGGGTGCCTCTTACTTAAGCCCTTCTCCATAGCCCGTGAGCTTCCAGATGCTGTGCACTGAAGGAATTCACAGCCGATAGGATCACACATTGGGTAGGCGGCTGACAGATAACGCCCTCCCATAGACAGAAGGCACTCGGGTGATAGTTTGTTCTTTGCCCCATTGTTAATCACAATGAAGAAACGCCTTCTACTGTGGCTTTTAAACAGTGTAGTCTAAGCTGTCCAAGCCGTCTGTGTCAGCAGGAAATGGTCAGTTTTGTAGGCCTCACCTAAAGTTCAAGCTTACAATTCATCTTTTTTAGGTTAGCAGTTTTATCAGTAAAGTGGCCTATCCTGGAATTAAAGGCAGATTTTGTAAATGCACGCCAGTATTCTTTCTGCTACCTTATAGACATCTTCCTTGGTGTGTTAAGCAGGCAGACACATGATGCCACTGGTCCAAATGACTTGCAAAAATCACCATTAGATCCTTTCAGAAATTTGTGATGCTTTCTCTGAGTCCAGGCAAGAGAGTTATAATCTGTTCCTTAGGTAAGAATGCAGAGTGGCTAACTCAGAAGGTTTACCCTGGGAAAGAAGGACTTCTAGTAAATGTAGTTATTAATACTTTTAGAACTCAGTGGAATCTTTATCTAGACTTTCAAAGCTCAGTATTGTCATTATGGCCTGTCATAATTATGACATATCATACTATGACTTCTGTCAGACTAAAGGGATCTCTACGTATCAACCCACATTAATAATATTGGTTCTAATCACAGATGTTAAAGAGGAAAAGCGCTCCTCTGTGAGCCAGCCCAGTGCCCAAGCGTTGGGTAACCAGGCCATTTTAATGTCTGTGAGGTTGTTAAGCAAGAAGTGTTAATAGCTCATTTTACGACTCAGAAAATGGAAATAAAGTAGTTTGCCATATTTCTCCAAAGACTCACAAGTATCTCACAGATTTGGAAATAGGATCCAGATTTCTTGGCTCTTCCCAGTCCTCCTACCTAGCCCCATTCTTCATTCTCTAATTTTTGTCTAACACTGTAGACAATTCCGTCCTCTCCTGTGCCCGTGGTTACGAGCCTGGTTCACTGTCCTTTCCTGTGCTTGTAGTCATTAGTCTGGTTCACCATCCGCTCTTGTGCCTGTGGTTGCGAGCCTGGTTCAGAGCCTCCATTACTTTAGTGATTATGGCACTGATTTTCTGGGTTTTGTGTTTCTGCTATTTGTGTCCACTGTGTGCTTGTGTGTAGTTCGGATCATAATACACCCCTCTTCCTGTCTTAGTTACGTCCCTCATTGTTCCAGCAAAACACATGAGATGCCAAGCAACCTGAGGGAGAAGGGATTTACTCTGACTCTCAGTTGGAGGTTACAGTCTCTAGTCTGGAAGGCACAGTGGCCAGAGCTGGTCAGAAGAATGAGTAACGACATCCTGTGCAGCACACTTTTTCTCTTTTATCCAGTCCGGCATCCCAGTCCATGGGATTTAAAAACTCTATCCTATTTTAAGTCCAAACTGATCTTTGTCCATAGGTCCTGAGGTGTGGTTGAACACCCTCATTCTCCCTAGGTGACCTGGGTGAGGGAAACAGTGTGCATGGAAGGAAGCTACCAGATAGAAAGCCTGGTTGGCCTCTCTCAGTCTTGTCTCTGAATGGACCTGGCTTACTAAACAAGCCATTTTCTTATCTCTTCATTCTTTCTTTTACGAAAGATAAAAATGGACAAGGCTGATACTCTGCACAAAACACTCTGCAGAAGTGGAAGCAGTCCCTGGAGTATAGTCCTACACAGAACACCGTGGAATCCGAGAAACAGTGTTGAGGGGTCACTTTATCACAAAAGTGTGCGGTACTCTGCCCTGCCTCCCTCCTGTGTGCTCTCTGGCAGACTGCCTGGTGCTCTCGAGCCTTCATACTTCATATTGCTATGATGACCAATTCACCAGTGCACATGTAAGCACTTCTTAGACACAAGTATGTAAACCCTTTCCTTAACAGTATGGACAAGTTCTAAGGAGTTTGCTTTGGTTTGTGTTTTGTTTTGTTTTGTTTTTGTGATTAGGCCTCACTGGCCTGGAACATGCTAAGTAGACCAGGCTAGCCTCAAACTCACAAAGGTCCACCTGCCTCTGCCTCCCATTGCTGTGATTACAGCCATGCACCACCACACCTGGTTAAGGAGATATTTTTAAATATGTTTTAGTCGTAATTTAGGAGATTCTCTGTGTCCTGATTTAAAATTTCTTTAAAAAAAAAATACAAAAACATTTATATAGGCTGGCAAGATGTTCCAGAAGATAAAAGCACTTGCCACCAAGCCTATTGACCAAAGTCTGATACCAGGACCCATGGTGGAAGGAAAGGACCCAGTCCCACCTGTTGTCCTCTGAGCTCCACATGTGTGTGACGACACAGGCACCCCCAAATAAGGACATACATTCTGTAATACATTTCAGAAAGTAGTGTACATCTCAAGAAAATACTTAGTATCTTTGTATTTCCTAGTACAGAGAGAAAAAGGCCAGAAATTAATTTCAGAATGGCATTCAAGCTAGTACAATCCAGTGATGCAACCGAAAATAATTTTGGTATTATTGGCATAGTGGTACAAGGTTTATTATCCGACCCTGATTGCTGCTGCTGTTGTTGTTTTAATGTATTCACAGACAAAGTGGAGTCAGAATTGCTACAGGGTTACAGTAGATACTTGCCACATGACGTTCTTGTCGTGGCTGTGAAGTTATGCATACTATTCGCTGTGCTTCTGACAGTTCCTCTAATCCACTTCCCTGTAAGTACGCCTGAAGGTTTTGTTGCTCAGTGTCGTGGCTCCTAAAACGGCAACACTAATGCTTTGCAGACCAGAACCTCTGAATCACATCTAGCCTTGTGTATCTTATTCATTTGTCAAGTAATTGATCCAAGACCTCATACTAGCATATGGTCCCATGAAAGCACAAAAATAACAGTTGAACCTCGAAGCTAATTTGTGCTTTCTGAGATGTAGTTTAGATTTACCTCTCCCTCAGTTTTGTTTCCAATTTAGAGACTATAGTTCTAAAGTTTTAGTCCTATATTCTGTTTTCAAAAGAATGTGCACAAAGAAGAGAAAGCCGATTCAGCAAAACTGAACTCCTCTTAGTCTACGGGGAAGCCGCTCACTCTTAAGACTTTATACTCGCTCTAGAATATAAGAGGCAGAACAGATTGCCACTGTGCATCCAGGCTCTGCACATAAGAATCTTAAGAATGTCCGTGAAAATGAAAACAACAGCTTTGGGTAGAAAGGCTTCTGCATGGTGTCTTGAACTCATATGAGTTCTTAAAGACTGCGACCTCCAGGAATCCTTGCCCCTCCCTGTGAGACTGCAGGCTCAAGGGTCCGGCCAGGGCTAGATAAACTCGTGGGCTGTGATTGCCCACTGTTGCCCTAGCAGTGGAAGATGTGGGAAACGTTTTTGTATTTCATGCCATGGAACAGATAACAAAAATAAAACAGAAAATGCTGTTTCTCTTCCATGCCATGTTTTAGGTTTTTTTTCTGCTTGAAAGTTTGTCTGTTGAATTTAATGAAAATTGTTCTTTGTGATTTCATAACACAGTGTTACTGTTTGTAATTCTTTAAATTATAAAACCTGGAAAAATTGCCTGTGAAACTTTTGTGTGGAATTTAAGAAAAATAATTTTTATGAAGCTCACTCAGAAAGGTTCATGTGTTTAGAAACACGGCACAATAGTGTGTGCTGTGTCTGGGGAGTACAAATGATCTGGGGTAACAATATTATGGTTACTATACATGTGTTTCTCTAAGCAAACGCCATGCCCTTCATCCTTTCCCTTTCCCTGAATGTCTTCTTTTCCTGCTCTATAGGCCAGAAAAGCTTTAATGATGATACTTTTCTCAAATTATCCGTTTTCCTGGCTTCGGCATTCTCTGACCACAGTAGCGCTCAACGTCATCATTGTCTTACTTGCCATATATGTTCCTGACATTAGAAACGTATTTGGTGTCGTTGGTAAGTTTTCCACTTTAAAAAAGAAACCCATGTAATAAAAGGGATGGGAAGTCTCATCCGTGGTGGGCTCCACAGATTTGATTTCCAGCACCACAAAAGTAAGAGGGACAATAAAGTCATCACTCTCAAACTGAAATGGCTTGTTTTTTCCTCTCTACCCTTGTAGGTGCCAGCACATCGACATGCTTGATTTTTGTGTTCCCAGGATTATTTTATCTTAAACTCAGCCGAGAGGATTTACTCTCCTTGAAAAAGCTTGGGGTAGGTTGTTTTCAACTGTTTAAGACTTCCATTTTAAGGAATAGTCTGTTTTTTACTATGTCTAAGAAGACAGTATATCTTAATATACAAAGTACATTTTAGAATCTGGCTCATTCTTGTAATCCCAGCTCTGAGGGGACTGAGGCAGGAGGATTGCTGAGTGTTTGAGGCTAGCCTGAGCTACAGAGTGAGACCCCCCATGTACTGACACTGAATGAAGGTCCGCTCCAGAGGGGGCGGAGGCTCACACCCACTTCCCTTTGTCTCCACAGGCTTTGCTTCTGCTCATCGCAGGCGTTGTGCTTGGAAGCTTCAGTTTAGTGCTCATCATTTTTGACTGGGTCAACAAATGAAAACAAAATTTTTTTATGAAGAATAACTTACCTCTATAAACAAGAAGGGATCATCATGGAAGGCGCCTTATATGACATATACATTCTCAGGAAATTTGTTAAGAGGAAAGCAGGACAGAGCAGCAGTATGAATTTAGCTATTTTAATTTTAACCAAAATTAGAAATACTCAAAATACTTGAAATGTTCTTAAATGCACAGAGTCACTCTTTTGTTTGGGAGTTTTGTTTTGTGTTCTGTGTTTTGTTTTGTGTTTGAGGCCAGACTTAGCTGTGTAGAGCAGGCTGACCTTGAACTGACCGAGGTCTGCTGTTGGGAATTGGTTCTTTTTTTTTTCCCTGAGGGGAATTGGTTCTAATGCTTTGTCTTAATTCAGCTCCCAAAGCCGCACTTCCAGACCCTGCCCTCAGCTGGCTTCAGTTGATAATAAAGAATTACCGTACAGCCAATGGCTGGGCAGAAAGACGGAGGTGGGACTTTTAGATTGTGTGGGCAAGGGACCAGGAGAGAGGGGAAGAAGAGAATCGCCATGACTCGGAAGGCAGAGGGATTAGATTTAAGAGCTGTGGGAGAGAAACCATCCAGCAATGTAGGTGGAAAGGGAAAAGGCCCCGGGGGGGGGGGGGGGGGCGGGGTGGTGCTCCCCACTAGGTGACAGGGCAGTGAAGATTAAATGTGGATTTAGAAGGTGTTAAGCCAGGAATACTGGAGGGAAGTATGTGCTAGCTTCAGGGAGGATTGGAAGTAACCAGCCACTGAGTTAGTCAAGGCATATCAAAATTAGCTAGAATGTATACATTTGTCATTCCAGAATCCAAAGAGCTCCTGGGTGAGCGCAGCTCCTGTGTGACCTGCCAGGATCCAAAGCAGGTTAACCAATTCACTGCTACAGTCTGTCTGCTGCTGAGTCCTGCCAAGTGCTGGGGTTAGGAACTGTGCCACCATCTTGGCACATACCTGGAATTTATGACTTTTAAAAAAAAGTAACCTTTATTTATTTTTTTTAGAGTAGTTTTACGTTTCCAGATATATTGAGCAAATGCAATGAGGGATTCCATTCCTTACTCCAACTCTGTAGCTTTCCCTGATATGAATGCCTTGTGTCAGAGTACCGAGTGTTACACCCAGGGGTGCTAAAGTCCATGGTTGACATTAAGGTTTATTCTTGGCCACCACTGATCTTCCTACCAGAATGCCATGATTGGGATCACGTAGGACTGCGTGCAACGTTCAGACTGACTTCATTGATTTAATACCTCGTTTTCTTTCAGTGCTGAGTAATGTCCCATTATATGGATGTATCATGTTTGTTGATGCACTCACCTCATGGAAGACCTTTCTACCACTCCCAAGTTTTGCCAGCCATCAATAAAGATGCTAAAAATGTTTGTGTGCAGGTTCTTACATGGCCATGTTTTCAATTTGGGGGTGGGGGGTAAATACCGAGAAGCATATGCTACATTGTGAAGGTATATTTAGTTTTATAAGAAACTGCCAACTGTCTTCCAAAGCAGTTGTACCATCTTGCATCATCGCCAGCCATGAGAAAGCAACCTGTAGTCACATATGTACGCCAGCATTTGGTGTTATTGGTGTGGTGTGGTATGTTCTCCCCAGTTTAATGGGTTGCAGTGGCATCTCTGTTTTGAGATTCCCTGATGGCACGATATGGGCATTGCACACAGTTCTGTGACCGCTTCATATTTTCTTAGATAAGTGTCTAACTCTTGCCCATTTTTAAGTTGGATTGTTTGCTCACTGTTCAGTTTTATATCTTTGTGTGTGTGTGTGTGTGTGTGTGTGTGTGTGTGTGTGTGTGTGTTGGATGCTTATGTTTTATGAGATAAGTATTTGTAAAGATTTTCTATCAATCTGGGCCTTGCCTTTCCATTTTCCTAACAAGCTTTCACAGAGCAATTTTTTTAATGTTAAATATGATGAATTAGGGACTAAAAAGATGGCTCTGTGGGTAAGGGTACTCATTGCTCTTCCAGAGGACTCAGGTTCGATTCCCAGCACCCACATGGCAGTTGACAACCAACTGTAACTGCAGTCTCAGGGATCCAACACCATCTTCTGACCTCTGCAGACACAAAGCGCACACATGGTATATAGACATACATGCAGGTAGAATACTCACACATATAAGAAAAAACTAGAATATATGTATTGACCCAAACCAGCAGGAATAAGGGTCCCAAACAATGAAGTGTTAAGACTGAGGTCCAGGACTGAGAAATAAAGGAAACAAGAGGTAAAGCAGACAAGCAATAACTGGGACCAAAACATCCTACATAAGTTGATGGCTTATGGCAAGCTAGTTTATTAAGAAGCTCATCACCATATGTTCTGTTTGCTGGAGGGGTGGGAAGCAGGGTCAGCAGAAAGCTAGGTCAGACATATTGGCAAAGAGGACATGGCATACCTCAGACACAGCTGCCCAAGGACCAATAACCAACCATAGCTCAGAAGAGCAGGGTCCCAGAAACTATAACCTTGACTCTTGAGGCATTGCCTGCTGCCCTAGACAGGCCTTCCCATCCTCTCCTTGACAAGGATACAAAGCTAAAATTCCCTTTGTCCTTTCAGGAGGGCCTTTGAGAAAGTCTTGGGTTGGTCTGGCTCCCCACAACATATAAAGAATCTATGTTTGTTTTTTAAGGAATCGGTGTATTACATTTATATACAAAAATGATTCTTAGTGTGTGGGTTAATAATACTGTCGTGGAGAAACTGAGACTTCCCCACTGGGTATGGCCCTACCTCCCAGTCTTACCTGAGGTTTTCCTGTTGCTTTTGTGGGTTAAAAGTTCTCCAAACCTCAGATTGTCATTATAATATGTGACATCATTCAGAAAAGAGACAGATATTGATAGTCTGTCTCAGTCGTTGTTTAGAAATTAGTAGAAATTGTAAAACATTGCATTTTGCCCATTGACATGATTCCCAGTTGGAAACTAGAACCTAGGGCTTTCTGCCATGAGGCTTCTGGGTAAAGGGTCCCATGTCTGGCAGCCTGCCAAAGCCAGGGTGCATCAGTCAAAGCTCCTGCTGCAGTTGATTTGTAAAGTAGGGAATTTCATGCAAAGTAAGAATTTGCATATATGGAAATAACACTTTTGCAGGTGTCCTCTTGCTTAGGAAAGAGGCTAAAAGTTGGATAACAGAGCTTCTCTTCTGAAAAGATCAAAGGGAACGTTGACGACTCGGGTGTAATGAGGAGAGGCCAGGATTTAGGGGGCGGGGCTGGGTTTGGATCTTAATGAAAGTCATACAACTCTTGATCTCTAGGCTTCTACTTTCAATTCCAGGAAAGTGAATTAACACTCATTTTTTAAGGACTGTGTCAGGAGGGTTAAATGGCCTCTGATAAGTTAGATGCAGACCATCTAGGCTTTCTTACTTTTTGTTTGTCCCTTCTCTCTGTCTGGTCCCTTATGTAGAGCAGTAAAATAAAATGACGTTTTCCCCAAGGGCATGGAAACAGGTCTTGGATTTTTCACCTTCTGTCTTGCATAGCTTTTGCCCTGTGCGTCCCTTTAGCCTTCACCCCTGAGGAGCTGGCCCTGGAAGCAGAGGTTAGTGATTTCCCACAGTTCCACGCCAGCTGTGTGCTGCTTCTGCTTACGTCATCCTGAAGCCAGGCACATAGCATGCCTCCAGCCCAGGCAAGCCTGGCCTCTCTCATCAGCTTCAGGTGATAGTTCATCTATTAACGAGCTACTTGTCCCCTCTTTTTTCTGTTTATGAAATAATACTCATAGGTGTTCAGCTGCTTAAATAAATCTTAACTCTAGTAATACCAAAATAACCCTAAATCTACAACAGATGTAAGGATGCCCCCGGGGGCAAATGTTAAGTGTGGCGACAGCTGGGCATCAATTAATACTGTGTCACCTGTTCCTAAGACAGTGCCCTGGGAGGTTTGGCAGGAGACAAATATCCTTTGTAACACTGCACAAAATTGAGTTACTATCACATTGGTGAAGTCTGTCCGCTTTAACATTCTGTCTTGCCTGGTTGCCTGTTTGAGTCACATTTTCTGTGAGTTTGGAGGAAGCCGATGAGAAGACTGGCAACAACTGTGACCCTTTAGTAACCTTGTCCAAGTGCCCCAACATTATTTTCTGGGAAATATAGGCCTTCTCCTTATGGGCTTAATGGTCATAATTTATTAGGTAATAACTATTTAAAATAAAACTAAGAAATGCACAAAACACACTTTTCTAACATTTGGAGAGTTATTTGCTAAATTAAAAGACAAAATGCCAAGACCCATAAATTGCTTTCATATGTTCAGAGTGAGTGTTTAAGTTGTACTTTTTTTTCCTTAGCAGAATGTTTACTCACGAGCTTAGCATTTAAATGGTTAAAACAAGCCTTTGAAGTTAACACCCCATTAAGATGAATGGGGGTAATTCACACCTCAGCCAGGGCTGTATTATTCCAGTCTGGCTGTGGAGAAAACAGGACAGCAGTGGGCTGATTTACTGTCCTTTAAACACCCAACTTCAAGAAAGCTTTGTTCTGGTGGTGGCGGTGGTGGTGGTGGTGGTGGTGGTGGTGGTGGTGGTGGTGATGGTGGTTTCTTTTGTCTATTTTACTTGTTCACCTGGAAACAGGTTCTTAAAGTCATTGCCGTATTTAGGTGAGAACTGGAATCTGGAACAGTGGTAGACTGTCTACTCCGGTGATTCTGGGTGTGACCCTCGGTGATTCTACATGTGACCTTTGATAGCTCTCGCCAGATCAACTCAAAGTTTCTTGGTTTTGCTCAGTTCCACACTGTAGTGTATGCTGTAAACTGTAGCTTATCCAAATAGGTGAGGCAGGGATGACCCATTTTTAGGTTAATTGACATATGCCTTTAGTATGTTAAGAATTAATTGGCTTTCTTGTGCTCCTAAAAACTCGACTTTTGCAACATTTATGTTCTTGTTTGCCTGTATATAAAAATCTATCTTAAAAGACCAGCTTTAATCCCAACAGGCTGAAGCATGTGGATCTCTCTCTGAGTTCGAGGCCAGTCTGGTCTACATAGAGTTCCGGGACAGACAGAGCTACTGAGAGACTCTCTCTCAAACAGGCAAAAAAGAAAAAAATCAACAACTTTTTTTATGGCCTTCAGGAAGACTCAGCATAAAGGGCCCTGCTAGGCAAGCACATCACTCCCAGCTCCATGAAGTTGTCCTCTGACCTCCACCATGATACACTCCATTCCCCCCCACCCCGTCTCTCTCTCTCTCTCTCTCTCTCTCTCTCTCTCTCTCTCTCTCTCTTTCTCTCTCTCTCTCTCTCTCACACACACACACACACACACACACACACCACACACCGGTAGTAGTTAGTATTCCTGAGGTAGTGAGGTGAACAGAATGAAGATTCTCAGTGTATCATTTGTACCAGCAGTCATCTGTGTTTGAAGTGTGTATCCCACTCACTGAAAGTGCTAAAGCCATTTAACC